TATAGGGATTTAATGAACTCAAATTAAGTTACCATAATGGGTATATATATAGTAAATAGTAGGGTTTCCCCAATATAGTAACTTAAATTAAGTTCCCTAACAGCAGCCCAGTAGCCGGTGCCGAAGTTGCCGGGCTCTGCGCCGTACTTGGCGTAGCCAAACCCTCCGAAGGACTGGTCCTCACGATTCACATGGGGGTACCTTGTTATGGGTCCTTGAAATGAGGATCCTAGTTTCTAGTATTTGGGCATATCGGGGTCCCCCTATGTAGGGAGAGTACCACATACAAGCCAGTTGACATGGCAGATTGCATGGAATGGAGCAAAGGATCAGGCTTTCACATTGCACTTACCGTTGAAATCCATGTGCTGCAACAGCTGCCATAAGCTGCAGATGACAATTGAAACCGGATGCTCTCTGTGTCTACTCCCAATAGATACCCCAATATAGTAAAGTCGCTTCCATTTTCTTTTCCATTATCCCAATATAGCCCCTCAACGCTAAGCCCTAAACCCTAACCCTAAACCCCAAGTAGTAGTTTCCACTTTAGTTTCCATTATCCCAATAAAACCCCTCTATCCTAAACCCTAAACCCTAAACCAAAAGTAGTAGTGTCCATTTTATTTTCCATTATCCCAATAAAACCCCTATATCCTAAACTCTAAACCCTAAAACCCAAAGTAGTAGTGTCCGTTCTATTTTCCATTATCCTAATATGACCCCTAAACCCTAAACCCCAAATAGTAGCTGCCACTGTATTGTCCATCATCCCAAGATTTCCCCTATAATAAACCCCTATACAATCCTTATAATCGTCCCTAAATATATCCCCCAATGTATACCCAATATAACTTTTCCACTATCCCAATATTTTCCCAATATACTCGACCGGCCTTGAGGAGCTGAGTCTCAATGAGGCCGGCGACCAAGAGGATCCTGGGTTGCTGTTAAGGCAATTAATCTTGGTTGGCCTTTAGAACCCTTTGAAAAATATTAATATATAGGGTCCTTATGAAACTCATTGGGAAAAATGTTTAAGTATCCCAAAGGCCAACCCGGTAATTTAAGTTACCCTAATGGGTATATATAGTAATTCATAGGGTTTAGCGTATATAGGGTTTATAGGTTTTAGGGTTTGAGGTTACCGTAATGGGTATATATCTATAGTAATTAATGGGGGGTTTCCCCAATATAGTAACTTAAATTAAGTTCCTCAACCGCAACCCAGGATCTGCAACCAACCTTCGAGCGGCACCTTGCTCACGGCTGCGATTCCGGAGGGCACGTCGGAAAACTTCAGGTTCTGAGAAGGCGAGAGGTAACCATCGAACTTGCCGAAGATGTCTGGCCACACCATACCGAGGGTGGCGACCATACAGAGCCTTCCGTGCTTGAGCTCCACAGCTCGGCGACGGTCGAAGTCCTCCTTGGTGCAGCCGTCCTTGCAGTAGCCGACCGGGTCCCAGAACAGCAGAGGGTCGCATGCGCCGATCTCGTTGGAGGCATCGTAGGCGCAGCGCACCACACCACTACGTGCAGCCTGGACCGGGCGCGTCAGGGCTGCAGCCAAGCCCACGGCACCGAGGCCAAGAGCCACGCCTGCTGAGCTTCCGGCCGAGCTTGCGCCCGTGGAGCCCTGTGCGCCACGGAGCGTTGCCTGAGCAGGCTTCACCTGCTGCGGCACTCCGACGAAGGCCGTGGCTGCGGTAACCGCAGCTGCGCCAGTGGCAAGAGCCGAGATCTTGGACATGGCAGGCATGGCAAGCACAGGGGAGCACAAGAGGCGTCTATGGGAGAAGGCTACCGCCTTTCGGCAAAAATGGCAACAGCCTGAGTCAAACAGTTCAACCGTAGAACTGAGTCAGGGCAACGATGCAGAAGATGTGCAGAAAGGAAAACAAGCTTTGCAGCGCAAGCTCTGGCATGTCATGGCAACCAGATCACAACATGCACATGGCCTTCGCCTAATTGCAGCTACTTGAAAACCAGCAGCACTAGCCAGTCCACAAGATCGTGCACCCTGCATTCCAGCGGTCCCAAACGTCCAAGTCGTAGAGGAGCCCCAGCGGTTTCTTCAGCAGCGGGCCCAAATCTGCAGAGGGTGAGCCAAACCCTATAAACCACTAAAATATGTTGTTCCATTTCTTTTTCCATGATTCTTTTCATCTGACTCTCCAGTACTAAAACCCTGTAGACCACTGTATACTCATTCGGTTCTGGTCGCCTGCTAGAATCACTAGAGGCCCATCGCCAATGAAGATGACACATGGGAGGAATTGGGCAGAAGAGACGAATCCCAGAAGAGTGGTACCTGTAGGAACGCCAGGGATGTAGGTGTAGGGGAGAATAGGAGAGTGGCAGGGGTCCCCTTTGGAAGATTCAATATGGTCAGTTTAGAGGAATTCCATGCAATATGACTGGAAAAGCGTACTGTACCCTCGTGGAACACCTCTTACTATTGCTATGACTTTCTTACTACATTACTCTATTACCCCATTTTTATCAGCATGAAGATGCAGATTCAAGCTCCGTGACATCATGCTCCGACTGCGGATGAATCATTTTTTGCCGCACTACCAGAAGAACACGGGGAAATTTGTCTTCAATACTGTGGCATAGCCCTAAGGCCTAAACCCTAGATGAAAGGATCCTGGGACTTTTGATAGAATCCCACCTACAAAAGCAGCTACTATTCTAGTTTAAGGATATATATATATATAAAGATTGCTTGAGAACCAAAGTGTGTCAGTGCAGTGCCATATCGTGTCTGTTCTGTGCGCCACTAAAGACGTGTGCTCATTGTGACAGCGTACCATAATTCGGTCCGTAATTCTAAAGTACGTACCCAGGTACTCCACAGCACAAGCGAAACAATCGTCCGCCTGCATCTCCATTTCTGGAGTCCACGACGGGCGGAAAATGCCTTGGCAAATACGTCCAGCTCTGACCAAATCCCAGCTGCTATCTCTGATGCTGGATATCTGCATGCGGCGACTTTTTTGACGGGGTGCTGGCTTTTCCAACAACATATTGTAATTTCCATCAACTGGGGAACCCCAATGTAAATCCCAGAATACTCTAGTCCTTGTCATAGGTACAACCATCAAGGGACCCCTAGTCTTCGAAAACCCCCATGAAAGCTCTGGTCTCAACTCCTTAAAGGGGTTATATAAGGGATGATAGAAGGGAGTATCATAGGGATTAGGAGTTTAGACTATAGCTCATCTGGTGTTTTGGAGGTTTATACCAAAAACTTGATGCTCCCTAGTGCTGAAAGAGCATCCGTTGTTTTGTAATCGCCTCCCCATCAACAAAAACCCACCCGACCCCCTAATAATGAATCTTTCATCTGATGCATACTCTTACTACATGGGGGGCGGTATTCAACATGAAAGATGTGGTGGAGGTATCATCAAGGGAAGGAGATTGGGAACCCAAGAAAGGCCGACACAATAATCCTTCTTTTGCGGGCCCCAAAATCATTTCTTGCAAACCTCCCCCCGCCCCCCCCGCACCCCAAACCTTAAAGCCCAAACCCTTCCTGGTGTTGCCAGAGGCGCCCAGCAATGCTAGCGGCCTTCAACGCTGCCTCATGGAGTGGCGAATAGTTCAGAGTTTAAGGGTTGGGGGGTTTATGTTTAAGCTTTAGGGCTTAGCGTTTCCGATCCCCCCAGAGCTCAATACACCTCAATTCGGAAATCTAAGTACTTTTCGGGATTACTCCATGGGGGCCCACTTACACTTTGATTAAGACTTTTGGTATACCTTGAATCAGACTAGGGATCCTAATATCATGTGAGCTATAGTCTCAACTCCATGTATCCCCCTGAATAACCCCTATAAAACACCCGTATAGAGTCTCCTATGTAAACCCCTTTACAGAATTCGAACCCTAAACCCTAAACCCTATTTTCTACCATCCCCTATATAACCCCCGTTAGGAGTTCAGACCCTAAACCCTATGTTGTTTAACCCCCTTTATAAGCCCCTTTAAGGAGTTTAGTCTACAGATCATGTGGGGTATATGCCTTGACTACGATGCGCTGGGCCCTCAGGGATTGGAGGTTGAGGTTTAGGGTTTAGACTTCAGAGTTCAGAGTTTAGGGCTCAGGGTTTAGACTTCAGAGTTTAGGGCTTCGTTTTTTTTTAGGATTTGCATAGGGTTTTGGGGATCGCGGGAAGAGATTCAGGCATTGGGTGTAGGATTTTGGGCGAAGGGATGAAGGTTTTACGGGATTGACGATTCAGCTTTCGGGTTTAAGCAACAGGGTGTGGGGTTTCCATTTGAAACAGCGGAACAAGGGGAAGCAAAAGGCATTGAAGAAGAAGACCAAACATGAAGTACACATTTAAAGGAAGCCTGGGAGACTCCGTATGTGGGGGGCCTTTTGGTAGCAAACCATGTGGGACCTTAGGTATTCTTAGGCAGGCCTCAGGGAGGTCTAAAGGAAACCATCATCTCTTCAGGATTCCTTAAACTGGGAAATAAACAAAGCAAGAAGACACAACAACTTTGATGCTGACACTGGATGGCACCACTTGCAGACCCGCAGGCGATGGCAGAAAACAGATCACTACGTTGCTGATCACGTTCTCTCCCTAAACCCCACCTTGAACTGTGGTCTGAATCAAAACTAGTACAACAGTGATCAGAAACCCGGGCACACTAGCACCATCCTATTGTGTATTCCAAACCGACCCCACCATACGAGTTGTTCATGCAGCAAACAAGGTACAGGTCCTGAGTAGATCTAAATACCCTCTTTCAAAACTGTTCTTGTACATCATTGCTATTGTTAAGCTCTAAAACACTGAACATTTTCAGCCGCCGAGAGTCTGCAATACCATCTTGGTTGATAGCCCTCGCACCAGCCTGCAAAATCGCGTTTTACTATGAAATGAGACCTATACTACAACCCTTCCTCGACCCCCCCCGCCGCCTTGCTCCCCCCTCCACCAGAATCAACAAACACTGTCAAGTTAGTGACGTTTCTTAAACCCCAAATCCTAAATCCTAGACCCTAAACCCTAAATCCTAAACCCTAGACCCTGAACCCTAAACCCTAAATCCTAAACCCTAGAGCTTGAAGCCTAAACCAACATGTGAGGCGCAGTCTCACCTGGTTTGTAGTCTGCCTGGCCTACTTTATAACCCTTATAAGCAACATAATATCCCCAATCCTCCCCATGGCTAACCTACTTACTAAATCCTCTGCCCAAACCCCTGAACCCGATATAGAAAAAAAAACAGTAGTTTTAATGGTTTCCATGCTCTTTTTCCTTTTCCAGTAGTCTAAACCCTAAACCCTAAACCCTAAACCCTGAACCCTAGGGGTTCACAAGATTGATCCTGGGCTTGGACTCAGAGCTGAAAAGTGAGGGTTAGTGGGCTCAGCGCTTAAAGTTTCATGTAGGAACAACCCTAACCTACAACCTAAACTCTAAATCCTATGCCCGAAACTGAACCCTAAAGGTTAAATCCTATGCCCGAAACCCTGAACCCCAAATCCTAACCCCTAGAACCTAAACCCTAAACCCTATCCTAAACTCATCCTAAACCTTAAATTCTAAACACTAAACCCGAAAAGCGGGGGGGGGCTTGGGAAAATCTCACCCTTTGGTGCTTAAAGATGACAACAGCAGCAACAACAACAACAACATGAACATGGGCAGACTACTGTAATCCCTCCCCCTTGAGGGATATATAGGGGAGATCATTTGGGTTTAGGGTTTAGGATTTAGGGTTTAGTGTTTAGGGTTTAGGGCTGGTATTAAACCCCCCACCCCAATTAAATCTTCGAAATATAATATAATAAACCATAGTGTGAGTATTTCATATTAAGGGATGGTGGGGTTTAATATTAGGGGAGGAGATTTGGAAAGAGAAGGTCCAATAGCGTGCTGAGATCTATTTGAAATACCGTGTACTAAAATCATATAAGCCACTGTCTAAAGTCCTAGTATCCCCCTTAATAAGCCCTATAGTAGTCCCCTATATAACCCCTTATATAACCCCCTTTAAGGAGTTTAGATTATGGTTCATATAAGGCACCTTGGACTATAACATCGGCAATTCTTTCCCCAAGGCCTAAACCCTAAACCGCCCCTGTGTTAGGCTGTTACTGTTTTACCCAAAACCGAGATGGAAGGATCCTAAGGGTTGGAATGGAGACCCTAAACAGAGAACCCCAAGAGTACAGGGTTTATGGTTTAGGGTGGGAAGCCAAGAATATAGTAGGAATGTGCCTACCGGGTTCCTTACATTCCGGTTATATTCCTACTATTTTCTCGGGCTTCTCTGTTTGGGGTTGAAAACATCGTTGGAGATTCATTCGGCTGTGTCACCCACGAGAAATACGGCGCCAAATGAAAAGTTCTCAGAAGGGGGGTCCCGCGACAAGCCCATAATGTTGGAAAAACCAATGCTTAGGATGGGCTCTGAGACACACTCCCGCAAGGTGTTGTACTCCACAATGACCTAATTATGGAAGGACGATACGGAAACAGAAAAAAACCCGAAAAACGCCCGCAAGGATTCTGACTGCGGAATGTCATAAACAGACTAGAAAAATTACGCCCAAGCGCTTCATCCTTTCCAACCCTAAACCCCAAACCCTTTTGAGCATCCCTGCCGTGTCCCTCTACAGACGCCACGTTTGCCGCAGCATATGAGCTATTGTCTAAACTCGTACAAGATCTATATATATATATAGAAATGTATATATACATATGTATATACATATGTGTATATATATATAT